TGTCTTTGCTTTCTTTAGGCATGGGTTATTTAGTATTTCAGAACTCGATTTTCAAGCATATCTTTAGGTTTTTTTTTTCAGATATTTTCTGTTACTAATCTCCACCCTAATTGCAATCTTTATTTCATTCTATGCAGTTAAAGAGGGCGTTTTTAAAATGATTTTGTTTATTTATTTTAGAGAGAGCATGAGGGGGGAGGAGTAGAGGGCTAGAGAGAGAGAATCTCAAGTCAGACGCTCAACCTACTGAGCCACACAGGCGCCCCTAAAGAGTTTCTTTTTTTTTTTTTTTATGGTTCTGTATATTGTCAGTTTTATACATAGTCAGTTTGTGCTAAAAAGCAAACCTCCTCTAGTCAGTGTCTACAGGTCTGTATGTATCCTTCAGGTCAGGTTTGTCCATCTTGGTTTGTGAAATCTAATGGAAAATTACCATTATACCTGCTTTTTAAAAATCATAGTAAAATATCCCAGATTTAACTCTTTATTCTTATAGTAAAATTGTTGTTTTTTACATAGTTTGGAATTGATGTTAAGAATTGTATACAAATTAGGGGCGCCTGGGTGGCTCAGTCCTTAAGCGTCTGCCTTCAGCTCAGGTCATGATCCCAGGGTCCTGGGATCGAGCCCCGCATCGGGCTCTCTGCTTCGCAGGAAGCCTGCTTCTCCCTCTCCCACTCCCCCTGCTTGTGTTCCCTCTTTCGCTGTGTCTCTGTCAAATAAATAGAAAATCTTAAAAAAAATTGTATACAAATTTTAGGGGCACCTGTGTAGCTCAGTCGGTTAAGCATCTGACTTCAGCTCACAGTCCTGGGATTGAGCCCCATGTCTGGCTCCATGCTCAGCATGGAGTCTGCTTGTCCATCTCCCTTTCCCTCTCTCCCTCCCCCTCCTTGTTCTCTCTCTCTCTCTCAAATAAATAAAAATTTTAAAAATTGTATACAAATTTTACAGGGCCCCTGAGTGGCTCAGATGGTTCAGCGTCTGCCTTCAGCTCAGGTCGTGATCCCAGGGTCCTGGGATCAAGCTCCGCAGGAAGCCTCCTTCTCCCTCTCCCTCTGCCTGCTGCTTCCCCTGCTTGTACACACTCTCTCTGTCAAAAATAAATAAAATCTAAAAAAAAAAAAAAATTGTGGCGCACCTGGGTGGCTCAGATGGTTAAGTGTCTGCCTTTGGCTCAGGTCATGATCCCAGGGTCTTGGGAGCGAGCCCCACATTGGGCTCCTGGCTCAGCGGGGAGCCTGCTTCTCCTTCTGCCTCTGCCTCTCTCCCTGCTCATGCTCTCTCTTTCTCTGTATCTGTGTCTCAGATGAATAAATAAAATCTTTAAAAAAATTGTGTACAGGGCGTCTGGGTGGCTCGGTTGGGCGACTGCCTTCGGCTCAGGTCATGATCCTGGAGTCCCGGGATCGAGTCCCGCATCGGGCTCCCTGCTCGGCAGGGAGTCTGCTTCTCCCTCTGACCCTCTTCCCTCTCATGCTCTCTCTCATGCTCTCTCTCTCAAATAAATAAATAAAATCTTAAAAAAAAAATTGTGTACAAATTTTAAAGTATGTCTTCCAGTTGTTTTCTTCCTTATATCTTTTTTTCCAATACAAATACACATTTCTGTGTTTTTGTGTAATAATTATTAGATATAGGGGTGCCTGGGTGACTTAGTTGGTTAAACGTCCAACTCTTGATTTTGGCGTCATGATCTCAGGGTTGAGAGATTGAGCTCAGTGCAGAGTCTGCTTGGAATTCTCTCCTCCCTCTGCCCCACCCGCACCCCCACCCCCCCATCCCTGCTCACTCTGCCTCTCAAATAAATAAAATCTTTAAAAATAATTACAAGATGTGTATTTCTCAAACTTTTATTTCATTTATGTAACATCATATCTTAGAAGTATGACATATACGGCGCCTGGGTGGCTCAGTTGGTTAAGCGACTGCCTTCGGCTCAGGTCATGATCCTGGAGTCCCTGGATTGAGTCCTGCATCGGGCTCCCTGCTCGGCGGGGAGTCTGCTTCTCCCTCTGACCCTCCCCCCTCTCATGTGCTCTCTCTCTCAAATAAATAAAATCTTTTAAAAAAAAAGTATGACGTATAAAGTAATTATTGTGGGATATCTTTCAACCCACCAAAAATAACTGATTACTAATTCAACCATTTATTCCATATTCATTTCATGTGATGGCTGGGATATTTGGGTTCAAATGCATCTTCCTATTTTGTTCTTATTTTTGCTTCAGTTCTGTTTGTTATACTTTCCTTTTAAAAATTTGTATAGATTATTTGCTTTCCTTTTTTATTATTATTTTATGTTAATCACCATACATTAGTTTTTGATGTAGTGTTCCATGATTCATTGTTTGCGTATAACACCCAGTGCTCCATGCAGAACGTGCCCTCTTTAAATACCCATCACCAGGCTAACCCATCCCCCCACCCCCTCCCCTCTAGAACCCTCAGTTTGTTTCTCAGAGTCCATAGTCTCTCATGGTTCGTCTCCACCTCCTATTTCCGCCCCCTTCATTCTTCCCCTCCTGCTATCTTCTTCTTCTTTGTTTTTTTTTTTTTTAACATATAATGTATTATTTGTTTCAGAGGTACAAGTCTGTGATTCATCAGTCTTACACAATTCACAGCACTCACCATAGCACATACTTGCTTCTCCCTCTCCCTCTGCCTGTTGCTTCCCCTGCTTGTACACACTTTCTGTCAAAAATAAATAAAATCTAAAAAAAAAAAAAAATTGTAGGGCGCCTGGGTGGCTCAGATGGTTAAGCATCTGCCTTCGGCTCAGGTCATGATCCCAGGGTCCTGGAATCGAGTTAATGTCCCCAATGTCTATCACCCAGCCACCCCATCCCTCCCACCCCCCACCACTCCAGCAACCCCCAGTTTGTTTCCTGAGATTAAGAATTCCTCATATCAGTGAGGTCATATGATACATGTCTTTCTCTGATTGACTTATTTCACTCAGCATAATACCCTCTAGTTCCATCCACGTCGTTGCAAATGGCAAGATTTCATTCCTTTTGATGGCTGCATAATATTCCATTGTTAGATTGCTTTCTAAACATTGCTTTTAGTTGGGAATGTATATGGTCCTATTTTATTAATGTTTAAGGTAAAAATTATAATACATGTCTGTAACACAACAGAATATAGTGTTACTACCTTTACCCTTTTCTTGAACAATATAAGGGGTATTATTGAGGACTGCATGGTAATTCTATCATTCTACTCAACAAGGAGATATTGTTCATGTGTTATTCAGATAGTGAATAATTGTATTAATCCACAGATGTATCTCTCTCTTGGATCTTCATTCCTTCCATCAGTGCAGACCTTTTACCTAGGATCACTTCCTTTAAATATAAACCTGATTCATTTTATATGGCTTAGTTTGCTATTATATTTTTCATTTTAGGTTTCATACAGTCTTATTTTATGTTCTTTCTTGAAAAATACTATTTTGTGAAGTATAGAAATCTGTGTGGACGATTATTTTTTTGGCACCTTCACTGTGTCATTCCATATGTTCCTGACCCACCATATACTGGATATGAGTGGAAGCAATTTACTTTGTGTTGATAGTTTCCTAATGTTAAGGAACAGTATTTGAACAACACACTGTAGAGACTGTAACGGGGAGATGGCCTCAGTAATTACATGGGGTTTGAGTTGGAACAATAAAAAAGTGACAGTGTAGAATGCATAGGAGAAATAATAAAGTATATATCTGATGACCAAATTGATGGATTATGACATAAGGTGGCTGGATGCTTACTAGTCCCGTTTGCTTTGTCTGGACACCTGGGAGGATGGCATGTCTCAGCTCTCCTTAAACTTCTTTTGGGACCATGTGAGTGAGCTGTGGCCAACTGGATATAGGCAGAAGTGATGGTAAAATTGTGCCTTAATTGTTCTCACACTTGTGCACAATTCTGGGAATAGTCTCATTGGATCTAGATTTCACAGCGCCCCAGGATTTTGTACTCCTTTGGGGGCTGCAAGTTCAGGTGATGGTCTGACGGTGACACTGTTTTGATAAGGACAGGGCATGATGACCTAAAGCTTGAGCTTCATGATCACGTATTTGTACCTAGGCCTACCTGCCCTCAGCATCAGAAGGGCAGGACGAGGTGACGAAGGTCCTGGTTACTGTGAACTAGATGACAGGTCATGTCACAAAATTGAGACCAGGTCAGCTCCACTCTCCACTTAACCCTGACAGCCGCTAGTCATGATGCTGCCGAGATCTGAGTCCTGTGCCCTGTAGTAATGCATGTGTTGGGCAACTTGCCTCCCTGTAGTTTAAGAAACTCTCCTGCCACGCTGTTTAAGAAATAACTAAATAAGCCAAATAGTTCAAGCTGTGCTTTTATGTGAAATTTTTAATCAGTACCTGTGAGGCTACTTTCCGGTGAAGAAGTCATTGTAGATTGTTTCGATAATGCCAAGGATCCTGCGAAGAGGCAAGCCCGACCTCGCCAACCCCAGCAGGGTATGTTAATGCCAACTCCTAGTTACTTAATGAGAACGAACCACGTGAAAGGCACTTGAAATCCCCCGAGCGACCTAGCTCCCGTTCTAGTCTCGGTAGAGCCACGGTTCCCGAACCTGGGAGCAGCGGCAGGATTCCTTACTGCAGCGCTGAGCCGCCGCCGCAGTTTCCCGCATCCGGGTCGGGGCGGGCCGCAGAGGTCCCCGGGTCCTGCGACGCCTGGCTTCTGGGGGCGGGGCTCCACGCCTCGCCCGCGGGAACTGGGGTGCTTCTCTTCACGGGGAAACCTGGCTCGACTTATTTCCCCGCGCGCTCCGGCTGACCCTTGTCGTCGCCGTGAAGACGGGACTGGCGCACGCGCCGGGGCGCCGGCGCGCTTACACTACATTACCCAGAAGCGGGGGCTAGGCGCTTCCGCCCCGAGCGACGGGCCGCAGAGCGCCGGGGAGGGGAGCTTCCTGTGCGCCGGGGCGGGACTTCCGTCCGCGGCGCAGGAGCGCATCCCTTGGTGAGCGGCGGCTGGTCGGGCCACGACCACGTGGACTGGAGCGCGCACCGGGCCAGTCCGGGCCGCGCGGGGCAGGAGACTGACGTGGCGGGGACCGCCTCCGCGCCCTGGGCGAGCCGTGACGCCCCGGCGTCGGCCGCATCTCCCCGAGACTGTGCCCGGCTGTGGGACGGGCGCCGCCGGCTCTGCCCCTTCCCTGAGGTCCCCTCGCTCCGTCGCCCGGGCCCCCGAAGGCGGCAGCCGGGGCCTTGCGAGCATCTCACACCATCTTACAGCGAAGCTCGGAGCGCGACACGCAGCCGCAGGCGACCCCGCCCCAGCTGAGCCCTCGGGACCCACCCTGGTCGCCCGACCCTCGGGCCCTGCTCAGCCCAACCGGACCCCTGGCGTGGCAGGGGCGGCAGCACGGATGAATACGGCGCAGGTGAGTGGAGGGTCACCCAGCCTCCTCCCCGCCATCCCCCGCCACGTCTCACCCTCATGGTCACCGTTCCTCCTTATGGCGGATGGTGGTCGTGGGACTATTATCTCCCGTTTTCTTGGTCGTGGAGTCCCTGGGGGAGGTCACTTGTGGCCGCGCATCCGGAGCCCAGGTCAGGTATTACATGGGTATGTTCCCGATCAGGGCGGCCAGTGGAAGGGTGACCGAGTCACGGGAACAGGCTTGTGCCAGTGCTTGGAGGTGAGATTGAGTTGGGAGTGAGCAGGGTCTCCATGGCGTCTTAAGGGGAATAGAGAGCAGTGGAATGGCAGCCCCGGACGCTGGGCCTCTCTTCTGGGAGTTTGGAGCTGAGGACGGAGGTGGTTTGACACAGATTTCGTTCAGCAGGCTTCCCCTGGCTACAGAGTGGAGACTGGAAGTGAGGGAGGAGGTAGGGAGACTCGGGAGGAATGTGACCTGCGAGTTTTAAGGCCCTAGTACTGGGGGCTTATGGAAGAAGGCTGAGCCCAAGTTTGCTTTTGTCTGGGAGGCATGGTCTGAAGGACACCGGGAGAACTGGCCAGCTAGAGAGTTTGGTGCCCCTCATGGAAGACCCACAGCTTGCACAGTATTTATCTGTCCACCTGCCTGGCTCCAGGCCGCACACAGTGATCAGACAGACATGAGGAGAGAGCAGGTGCTGGTGGTACCAAAGCCTGGTATCTGCTCTGAGGTGGGAGGCTAGGAGGAGAGGGACCAGGGGTGGTTGTGTGAGTGGACAGACAGGTGACCCCTGTGGCCTGTGGGCTCAACTGTCCCCCGTCGTGACAGGGCTGTGTGACCTTCGAGGATGTGTTCGTGTACTTCTCCCGGGAGGAGTGGGAGCTCCTTGAGGAAGCTCAGAGACTCCTGTACCGTGATGTGATGCTGGAGAACTTTGCACTTGTGTCCTCACTGGGTAAGGCCCTGCTTTAGTTATCTGTTGCTACATGGCAAGTTATCCCAAAGCTCAGTGGGATGAAGACAAACACTTATTATCTCAGTCTCTGTGGGTCAAAAATCAGGCATATCGTACTTGGGTACCTCTAGGCTCAAGGTCTTTCACAACCTTGCTGTCAAGCTGTCCAAGTTTGCTGTCTCATCTGAAGGCTCAACTGGAGGTGAATCTCCTTTCAAGGTCATGCCCCTGAGTCAGAGGCTGTTGGACTAATTAGTCATTTTCTTGCTGGCCTTTGGCCAGAGCCCTCCCTCAGGGTCTTGCCATGTTGTCTTCTCCATATAAGCAGATCACAACAAGGCAGCTGATTTCCACCAGCATGAGTAAGAGACAGCATCCAACGTAGAAGCTGGTATTTTCATAATTTATTTTCAGAAGTGACATCCTATCATTTTTGCCATATTCTGTTCATTAAAAAGAAGTTTTAGGTTCAGCCCACATTCAGCTGGAAGGACTTACAAGGACATGGATACCAGAGGATAGGTATGAGTCCCAATTTCCTGGGCTGAGTTTTGTTCTTCCCCTTTTTTCCCAAATGGCAGCTGTCTGTCTGACAGTACTCTCATGGCACGACCCCTTTCCTTGGCTTCCTGGAGTAGGTGGTGGGTCCCAGGGCTGGACAGTGGGCACTAGCTCCTCTTCTGCAGCAGCCCCAACCTCTCCTCTCCCAAAGCTTTGAAATGAAGGATTTGGGGGTCAGGAGTCTTGGGGTCTGCCCAACAGATCCCAGATGGCCTGGCCACACCTTGACTGGGTATCTGTCCAAACCCCTGGTCTCTGCCCACATTCTTACCCCTTCTTCTAGTTGACTTTTCCTGGGGCCTGACTGTTCCAGGAATTGCAGGCACCAACGTGGTCATTCCTTGTGAAGAACAGTGAGCTGTTCCTGCAAGACACTTTTCTAAGATTCTTCTTAAAATATTTAATCTTTTCTGTGGAGAGCATTGCTCTGGGGTGCTGCCAGCCACTCAGCAGCTCTTCTTTCCCTTTAGGACTCGCCGTTTCCAGGTCCCATGTTGTTACCCACATGGAGCCGGAGGGGAGCCCAGGGTGCCTGAGAAGGTAAACACAGCTCCAGCTACAGCAAAGCAGATCTGGAGGAGGCCTGGCCCTGGTGAGTAGAAGCCATGGGGACGGTCGCCTCAGGGCTGGCTTCACATTATACCAGCAACCCCTGTTGTATCTCCTAGTATTCTGATGCCAGTACCCGTGGCTGACCTCATCCCCCTTTTCTTTCCCCATTTGGATGCTTTGCCCACTGTCATTTCTACTCTGATCTCAGTTACCTGTTAGTTCTTCCCCTCTGCCCGCCATCTCCATGTCATTTCTTTTCTTGGTACTCTGCAGCATTGGCTTTCATTTAATATGTCATGAGTTGTGCTCACATCCTTCAGTTTTCCTTGAAAACTAAGTATTGCGTGCCAGCCAGATTCTCCTGGCCCTGGGCAGACCCTTTTGCACAGCACTCACCTATCACAAGGAATGAGGCCTTGCTGGGAGACCATTGGCAGAGGAGTGATTTGGAGACCCTGCCCCTCCTCATACTGCACTCCGTTCTTGTACCCTCTCCCTGTGAGGTCTTCTTCATTCTCTGACCTTTAGAGGCCTGCAGCGCACAGCTTCCCTTTCTCATCCTGATTCTACTCCCATGTTCTGCATGCAGTCCCTTGGACTCGTTCCTGGTTGTATCCCACAGCATGTGTTATGGCCTGCCACTTGCCACCAATTAAACTTGAACTTAACCCGCATTTATCTTCCTTCAGGTTGATGGCATGGAGTGAAGGATGAGGCTGCGCATTCTAAGCGGGGTGTTTCTGTGAGTGTCACAGATGGGAACTCCCAAGGCAGGTCCTTCCACCCGAAAGGTTCATCCCTGTGATATGTGTGACCCAGTCTTGAAAGACATCTTTGCACCTGGCTGAGCCACAGGGAACACCATCTGAGCAGCAGGAGAGACTTCTGGTGTAGTATAAATCTTGACCAGATGCAGAAGCCGCAGAGTTGAGAAAGTTTCTTCAGAAAGGAAGGGAGCCAGGCTTCATTTGTGAAGATCTGCAGATCCCATGTGTTGGAGAAGGCTTCTACTTGCAGGGAGGGTGGGAAGAACTTTGTGGGCAGCTCTGGACTTATCCGGCACCAGGCTTCTCGCAGCAGGGAGAAACCACACAGGGGTCCTGAGTGTGGGGAGGCCTTTTGTGTATCAGATTTCCTTTAGGCAAGAAAGCACAACCCGAGACCATAAGCCTTCTATTTGTTGGAGGCAGCCTCACTCCAGGGTTGATTGACTCAGAGCATCTCAAGGGACTCTTGGTTGTGGTGAACCGGGGAACAAGGGCCATTGGAAATGCAGGAAAGGCACCTGACCCTGGGACACTTTCCCACAAGGAGAGTCTTCCCAGGAAGGTGAGCTCTAAGCACATTGGTGTGGGAACAGCTAATCTGCATTCAGGACTTTCATGAGAGTGAGTCTCTCGGGGAGGGCGGTGCTTTCCATGAACCACTCACATGGGCCACAGAAAGCTTCCATGGTCTATGGGCAGAATTTCTACAAGTGGAAGTTTAACAAATGTTGGCGTGGTTTCGACATCAGCAGATCATGCTGAGGGAAGCCTGTGACCACAGCGAAGGTGAGAAAACCTTTCTTGAGGGATTTACACTGAGCGAAGCCAGGTCAGGATTTACAGTGAGCGAAGCCAGGGCAGGATTTACACTGAGCGAAGCCAGGGCAGGGTTTACACTGAGCGAAGCCAGGGCAGGATTTACACTGAGCGAAGCCAGGGGAGTACTTCCAAGTGTGGGAAGGCCTTCAGCTGCAGGTCAGACCTCATGCAGCACCAGCAGATTCACAATGGGAGAGGCCTTGTGAATGCAAGGAATGTGGGAAAGTCTGGGACAGCTCTGCTTTTGTCCAAAATAATTTCCCCCACCCAAGAGAAAGTCTCTTCAAGTACAAAGTATGTGGGTAAACCTTTGGTGACAGCTGTTTTCTCACTCATCATGTAGGGTTTTCCCAGGAGAGAAGGCCTGAGTGCAGTGATGTGGGAAGGCCTTCATTCACCATTTTTATTTCTGGCATTAATAGCATCCGCACTGGGGTAAAATCCTTTGAGTATAAAGATCTGAGAGCCTCTTGTGACCGCTCTTCCCTAACTCTACACGAGGAGTCACGGTGGGGAAAACCTTGTGGATTCAGTGAATGTGAACACACTTTCAGCTTTCGTTCATCCCTCACGCACCCCCTAAGTGTTCATACTGGGGAGAAACCCTGTGAGTGTAAGAGATGTGGGAAAGCCTTTTGCAAGTGGACTTAACTCAGTCAGTACCAGAGAACTCATACTGGGGAGAATGTAACTCCTGAGGAAAATGTTTGCCAGAGGAAACCTCTTGCTCGGCATCTGAGAAATTATACCAAAGAGAAACCCTGTAAGTGTCATCGTGAGAAAATCTTCTGAAGCAGATCATAACTTACTGTCTTCTAAAGGGTCATATTGGAAGTTGACTCAGCTTGGACCTTACTCTACAAATGAGAATTTAAAAAGGAGAGGAAACTAGTGGTTATTGTGCAGTTTCAAAACCTTCAGCTACAGCTCAGTGTTAGTATGCGCTGAAAAGCAATCATGGACTATTTTTAAAAAAGAGAAAAGGCATAAGGGAGGAGGAAGAAAAGATGTCGATGTAACAGAAAAAGGAATGCATTCATGGTTTCTTTCAGGTTTCCCTACAAACCCATGACAATTTGTTTTCAGTTGTTTTTGTTTGGGGTGGCAGGTGGGAGCAAAGGGGCCTCATCCCTTCACCTGACTTAATATACATTCACTGCCATTCTGTGACAGGAGAGCTGGATACTTGACAGCATCTAAACAAATATTTATCGAAATCCTTCTTTGTTAAAAAACAGACTCAACTAGTAAGGGTCATTTAGTCTTTGTGATAAATGTGAAGTCATAATTTATGAAACATTTAAAAGAAATTAGAACACTAAAAATATTGTCACCTAAAATTATTTCATATGTAAGGGGCTAAGGACATATATATGAATGGGTACATTTTCTGCACCATTTAAGACCATTTAGTTAAGGCTTCAGTTATTTATTCACTTATTTATTCTTCATTGAGATATAATTGACATATAACATCATGTGAGATTAAGGTGTACAACATTGATTTGATGAATTTATATTGCAATATGATTGCCATTGTAGCATTAACTCCTATATCCTAGTGGTATCCTGTGTTCCTCGTGGTAGGAACAGTTAAGACCTAGTCTCTTGCCAAGTTTCATGTTTTTAATATAGTTTTGTTCCTTGTAATCCCTTTACTGTGTCTTAGATCTTCAGGATTTATTTATCTGCTAGTTGCAAGTATGTACCCTTAAACAACATCCCCCCACCCAAGCCTTTGGTAACCATCATTCCACTCTCATTTGAGTTCAGTTCTATTCCACATATAAAAATATATAGTATTTGTCTTTCTGTGTTTGACTTATCTCACTTAGCATAATGTCCTTAAGGGCCATCCTTATTGTCGTAAATGACAGCATTTCCTTTTTTCTCAGAGCATCTCAAAGGACTGAATAATATTCCGTTGTACATATGCCACATCTTCTTTATCCTTTGATGGACACTTAAGTTGTTACCATATCTTGTCTCTTGCGTACAATGCTACAATAAACATGAGAGTGCAGATATCTCTGAGATCCTGTTTTCATTTCGTTTGGATATGTATATACCCAGAAGTGGGATTATTGAACCATATGGTGGTTTGCTTTTTAATTTTTTTAAGGTTATTTCCTTATTTATTTGAGAGAGAGAGTGAGCACAAGCAGGGGGAGCGGAAGGCAGAGGGAGAAGCAGGCTCCCCACTGAGCAGAGAGCCCAGACCTGAACCAAAGTTAGATGCTTAACTGACTGAGCCACCCAGGCACCCCTTTTTTAAAATTTATTTATTTATTTATTTATTATTTATTTATTTTTGGTGGGCAGCAAAAGCAAGGTTCATTGAGTGATAGCAAAGTGATAGTACAAAGCTCCAAGGAGGGAGGGGACCCCAGAAGGTAGCCCCTATTTTTAGTTTTTTGAAGAACCTCCATATTTTCCAAAATGACTGGACCAGTTAACAGTCCTACCAACGGTGCGCAAATGTTCCCTTTTCTCCACATATTTGCTGACATTTACCTCTCATCTTCTTGATACTCGCCTTTCTGACAAGTGTGAGGTGATAATCTCATTGTGGTTTTCATTTGCATTTTCCTGATGATTAGTGATATTGAGCACCTTTTCTTGTACCTGTTGGCCATTTGGATGTCTTTGGAAAGATGTTTGTATAGTTCCTCTGCCCACGGGTTAATCAGATTGGTTTTTTTGTTATTGACTTACATGAGTTCTTTATAAAATTTTGGGTATTAGCCCCTTATCTGGTAACATGGTTTGCAAATATTCTCTCCTATTCCATAGGTTGCCTTTTTATTTTTTTTAATTGTTTCTTTTGCAACGCAGAAGATTTTAAGTTTGATATAGTCCGACTTGTTGATTTTTTTCTTTTGTTTGTGCCTTTGGTATCATATCCAAAAAATCATTGCCAAAACTACTGTCTTGGAGCTTCCCTTGTTTTCTTCTAAGAGTTTTATAGCATCAGGTCTATGTTTAAGTCTTTGATCCATTTCAAGGTAATTTTTGTGAGTGGTGTAAGATAGGGATCCAATTTCATTTTTCTGCATGGGATTATCCAGTTTTCCAACACCGTTTGTTGGAGAGACTATCTTTTCCCCATTTGATATCCTTGGCTCTCATCAAATACTAGCTGACTGTATATGTGGGGTTTTAATTGTGTCTCTTTATTCTGTTCCGTTGGTCTATTTTTAGCCAATACTATACTGTTTGGGTTACAATAGCTTTCTAATATAGTCGAAATCAGGAAATGTGGTGCTACCTGTTCTTTCTCATGATTGTTTTGGCTATTAGGGGTCTTGCAGTTCCATACAAATTTTAAGATTGTTTCTTCTATTCCTGTGAAAAGCGCCATTGGAATTTTGATAGGGATTGTGTTGAATCTGTAGATAGCTTTGCATGGCATGGACATTTTAACAGTATTATTTTTTCTAATCTATGAACACAAGATATCCTTCCATTTGTGTCTCATTTCTTCCAACAGAATCTTATATTTTTCATTGCACAGATCTTTCACTTCCTTGGTTAAATTCACTCCTAGGTATTTTGTTTTTGATGCTACTTTGAATGAGATAGGTTTTTCCCCCCCAGATGTTTCATTGTTATTGTATAGAAACGCAAATGATTTGTGTGTATAAATTTCATATCCAGCAACTTTACTGAATTCACTGATTAGATCCAACAGTTTTTATTTGAGTCTTTTGGATTTTCTTTTTTTTTTCCTTTTTTAAATACTTTATTTATTTATTTGTCAGAGGTAGAGAGCACAAGCAGGGGCAGGCAGAGGGAGAAGCAGGCTCCCTGCTGAGGAAGGAGCCCGATGCAGGACTCAGTCCCAGGACCCTGGGATCATGACCCGAGCTGAAGGAAGATGCTTAACCAACTGAGCCACCCAGATGTCCCTGGATTTTCAATATAAGAATATATCATCTGCAAATAATGACAGTTTTACTTCTTTCTTTTTCAATTTGGATACCTTTTAATTTCTTTGTCTTGCCTAATTGCTCCAGCTAGGATGTCAGCACTATGTTGAGTAAGAGTGCTGAGCGAAATCTTCGATTAAAAAAAACAAGCCTTTTCTTCATGTCATTTTAAACATCCAGTCTGCTCACTTTTCCTTAATCCAGATTTGCATTTTTCTTTATTTTCTCTGAGGCATGATGCTAATCATGTAGCTATGTAGTCTTCCCAGGTGAGTCTTAAACCTTCCTCTGACTGGGTTTTTCACTTTTTTAAATCTTTTGAGGGACTTCTCCAAGTCCACCTCAGTACTTTTCCGGGGTCAGATTAGGGCTAAAACAGTAAACCACACATTCCAGTTAAATTCATGATAAACTCTGGGGGCGCCTGGGTGGCTCAGTTGGTTAAGCGATTGCCTTCGGCTCGGGTCATGATCCTGGAGTCCCGGGATCGAGTCCCATATCGGGCTCCCTGCTCAGTGGGGAGTCTGCTTCTCCCTCTGACCCTCTTCCCTCTTGTGCTCTGTCTCTCATTCTCTCTCTCTCAAATAAATAAATAAAATCTTTAAAAAAAAAATTCATGATAAACTCTGGAGAAAAAAAAACAGATAAGGAATCTCATTGTTTAATCTTACGAGAATGTGTCAAGTGCTGTTATAAAGAAAAGTGACTGGGGGGCGCCTGGGTGGCTCAGTCGGTTAAGCGACTGCCTTCGGCTCAGGTCATGATCCTGGAGTCCCGGGATCGAGTCCCGCATCGGGCTCCCTGCTCGGCGAGGAGCCTGCTTCTCCCTCTGACCCTCTTCCCTCTCGTGCTTTCTATCTCTCATTCTCTCTCTCTCTCAAATAAATAAATAAAATCTTTAAAAAAAAAAAAAGGAAAGAAAAGTGACTGGAATTTACCTGAGGGATGAAGCTGAATGAGTGCAGGTGCACGTACTTTCACGTTTACCCCCTGTGGACTTACTTCCTTTGTGCTCTCATCAGGCAGGGCATTAGGGAATATCTCCTTCCTTTGGGACTGTCTTTGAGGACAGATGCTGAACTATATGAGGTGATCATTGTTCCCTCA